CTACTGTCGTTCATTTCTACCAACAAGACAAACAAACAAGTCAGAAAAGTGGCAACGAAATTCAAGTAATGTCACAACTGGCAGACAACGGGAGTATCCATCCCAAGGGGCACAAGACTAAGGCCGACCATCACCAAGGCCTCCTCCTTCACCAAGGGCCCGACGTGAATCGTTCCACCTAGCCGGAGCCGATTCATCATGGTCTTCTCTTCATCGCTATTGCGTGGCAAGATCCTTTCGGCCAGCATATATAGGTCCCCCCAACCAAACTAAAAGGACAACCCTTGGGGGCAACTAACAAAGAATAATTTCTTCTTCCAATTATTGACAGATGGTAGGTTGTCAACCACCTTTCCTCGTCGGCTTTGAAAATACCACAAGCCTTCCCTATCAGGATGCTTCCTCAATGCAAACAAACTCTGAAATATGTACAGGGTTACAGACACACCTCGGAGATGGGCCATCACCAACACAACCACTATAATCCTAATGGCATTGGGAGCGAGTTGGATACGGGTGAGATTGTAGTGGTTCAAAATCTTAGGGATTAGGGGTGCAGGGGAAAATGCAACCCAAAGTGAAGGTAATGCTCATGGATGCACACCTCCCTTTCGGTAGCAAGCCATGACCAGTCACCAACTCAGGGGACTTTAACCCTATAGTCCCCCAAAATGTAGTATTTCTCGGCCAAACCCCTAATTTTCTCCTTGCCAAGAATGCTATCTAGGTTAAAGCGGGGATAACGCCCCAGCGTTATGCCTCAGCCCGCTCCTCGTCCGTAAGTCCCTCGACCTCCTCCACATCTACCACTTCAGGAAGCGCAAGAATATTTCCTGTGGCATCGACCCTCAGTCACATGGAACCAATACTCTCATTAGAAGAGTCCGCACTCTGCTGGTCGTGCTTGACCCCGCGATACATGACCCTCTCCCTCAACATCTAGACTCTAGATGTCCGAGAGGAGCTCTTGAAGTCACTACTGTCACTTCCATCGCCACTAGGAGTGTTGTTGGGAGTACTCTAATCGAGAAGGTTGTAAGCTTCAAGACTAGAATTCAAAGCCGACATGTCGAGGATAGAAGTTATTTACCTAAAGTTGTTTAAGAAAAGAAGTCTAAGGAACTAATTGTGGAAATCCGAGGTGTCCTCTGTAGCTCTAACACTAAAGGTTTTGAGCAAATGGTGAAGTCTCTCTCAACCAGCCTCCCTATTTAAAGGAAATTGTACAACCTAAATTCAATTGATCCAACGGCCGTAGATCACCAACCTGATAATCCAAACCAACAAGCACCATGTGGCACCGACCTCGGGATATGAAACAACGCCAAGAGACAAGGCTGGCTCACCCGTCGACTTCGACTCGAGGACATGCCGAACCAGATCCCCCCATACTATCTCATGCATGACCTCAATTAGTCGACCCCGGTGCCCGTCCTGTGTACGGACCTATGATGGATGATGTCAGTGCCCATATGGGGCACGAGCAATGCATGTGGATAGCCTATGCCTATACGGGCCACGGTCATATACCCTTGGCCTGGAATGATCCTTTACTAACACGAAGGATGAATGGAGGAGTAGTAGCCACACAGCCACTGAGAAGAGCTCCACAACCGAGGTTGACGCCTCCACGTGAATCCATCATAATCTCTTCGGCCGAAGCTGAGGCCTCCACACAACTCGCCAATTGACCTCAGCCACTACGGCCTTAGGAGTAAAGGGCAAGCGATGTAGGAATATCTATCTAACCTGTAGATCTTGACACGTGGCGTCAACCGAATGTATCTTGGTCATCCATCATCAACTACTATCAACCATTCCCAACTACTCCTCTTCTAAGGCAACTCTAGATATAAAAGGGGCTACCACATTGAGGTAAAGACACAAACTTAAGCTCTAAGTTTCCTCACTTACTTGGTCTGGCCCCTCATAGCCCTCGGCTAACTTGATCGTCGGAGTCTTTGCCCCTGGGATAACTCCTAGGGCCTCTAACGTCTTCTTTATCTTAGCAAGTTGGACCCGTCAACCTCAAACACCAAAAATTATATTTTGCCCTTGGCTCCGTATTTGGTAGCAACACCTATGAATGGAGAAATGAACAATCCAAGTAATTTTTATCTCTGTGCATAGGTCACTAGATTTGAAGTTGATGTGAAGAAGATTCCAAATGGAGGGTCCATATCGAGTCTAGCTTCGGATGTCAAAATGGAGGGGTTAACGGTGTTGGAATTGGACAATCTTAATATTGTTAGACTCACAATTTTGAATTCTATGCATCTACATGGTTGCATTTTTTATTTCATATGAGTTATGGTTCAAGATAAAAAATGATCACAATCAGATGATCAAAATCAGTTTCGGCTTCGAGTCTTGAGATGAAAAGGTAAACGGTATCAGATTTGGAATTTTGGGTTCTATGTATCTATGGTGTTGGATTTCTATGTACCTAAAGTATTGAAGAAAGACTGAATGGCACAAAAATGGGGTGTCTACATACCTCTTTTGTTATTCTTGAGTAATGTGACATATGTTAGTTATGGAAGTTAGAATGACTTTAAATGAGGTTCCTCTTGCTAATTTAACATGGATATATCATTTTCTTCTACTATAAAGAAATCCTACTTAACCTTATCAAATCATTCTAAGGAAATCGCATTAAGATGTTGGTATGTTTAAAGTGGCTGCATACTTGGCCACATATGCTGCAGTTGCTTTTACTCTTGGAAATAAAATAAATGCAGTTATTAAACCAATAACAAGAAGATGATAAGTGGATATAACAACTTAATAGTAGGCTGGTCTTCTTTTAGCCCAAGAAACCATAGGCTTCAAGACATTAATACTTAAACATAAGCTTATATAAAATATTTTAGAGAGTGATATTTACTCAAACTCTAAAAATAATAAATAACAAAAGTGCCCTCAAGGCCTCAAGAACCAATGGCATGTTGAAATCTTATGCTAGTCTTAAAAAATGAGCAAGAGCCAAGAGATTATTAGAATTAGCGAAAATAGATGCTTGTCATCAAGGTCTTCTAGTGTTTTCAATCTACATGATGGCACAAACTTTGACAATCTACAAATCTGAAAAACAAGAATAATATAGCTAGCATTAGAACACATATATTAATGATATCAACAAAACAAATATATTGGCTTGAGCTTAAATGCTTGAACTGTGTTGTTGCATACCTTAGAAGCCAAATATGGTAGTCAAAGTACTTCATAACCTATCACTTTAATAATATGAGAGGTTTGGAGTATTATGGTTGACAAAACTGTGTCACTTGACTTAATTGAGTTAAACTAACCATGGGTGGAACACTAGGGATGGTTGCCATGCTTGTAGCAACACATGACCCCTACATAGCAACAATATTAGAAAAATGAAAACTATATACAAATAAGCAATAGTTAAAAACTATAAAGTATGAAATTACCATAGGGTTGAATTAACTGAGAGCTTGCCATGGTTGTAAATATATTTGGCAAAGATGGATCAAGATTTTTGGTCAATTTACTCTTCTTATGAGCAGTACTATCGCCGTCTTCATGCAATTCCTATAAAAATTACCAAAGATATTAATATAAATATTAAATAAATAAAAACAAAGATAAATAAGAATATAAAATGTACCGAATCTATATGGGTTTTCTTTTTGTGACACTTGCATTCTCTAAATAACCAACTTTTCTAATGTTGCTACCATGCCCTTTGCTAGCTCGTGTCTTCTTACCTAACCCTTCTCTAAATTATCTTTTAAAGCTTGAATTTCATCACAAGGTCCATATTCGCAATCAAGATTCACATTGATGCTTTGAGAACAACACTAAAACTTGGAGAGCTTCTTGCCTTAATTTAGCATCTTTTCTACCACTTTTCTTATATACTTATACACATCTATACTACTTATAAAGGTGTGAATGGGGTGTAATTCTCTGGAATTTTCATTGGACAAAATTTGCCCCTTCAACTTGAGTTATCTAAGGGGTAAATGTGTATTTTGAGAAAACTTTAATTAAGATTGTTGAAATTGCATTAATCATCTATTCTATACTACTATTAAATTAAAAGTATGATGAAGGTGTGAACTTTTCTTAACTAAAATAGTTTCAACTATTATTTTCACTTCATTTAATCCGCTCTAATTAACACTTATATTAAGGTATTAACTCTCATTGTTCCTTATTAAATCCTATATTAAAGCTATTTTTTCACTAATAAAGTCTATTAATTAGATCTATTTTAATACTTTTAACAATATAAATTCATGTATTTTAAAATTGACTCATAAACAAAACATTCTTTCATCTAAGGGGTGACCAAGCAATTCAACCATTTGAATCAAATTGATTAACCTACAAAGTCATAGTTAGATAATAAAATTTTTAAAATAGAAATAAATATAGAAAACTACAAACAAACGAAAAAAATAGACATATTTATGATATTTTTATTAATAAAATTAAAAAAATAAGGACAACAAACAAAAATTATTTTTATTGATGATGAAAATAAAATACATAATCTAAAACTAACCAAACATTAAATTATTTTATTTTTGGTAGCGATTAATAGTTCTACTTTTGGGTCAAACGTGTTGACCTTTAATGTCATGATTAAATAATAAAAATTAATAAAAGATAAAAAGACAAAAAAAAATACAAAAATTTTGCAAAAAAAAAATGGGCACATCTATAATATTCTATTTTTATCATATTAAACAAAAAAATAAGTGCAACATATAAGAATTATTTTTATGCACGTAGAAATATAAAAATTATAAAAAAATGGACACATCTATAATTCATATTTTGCAACCTACACTACTAGAAAGTTTAGTTTTAAAGGCTGGAGGCAGAGGTTGCAACCAGCCTCCATAAAAAAGGCAATTATGATGGTTCATATGATCTTATGTAGAGGCACTTTATAGATGCCTCTATATTATAATTCATGCGAGGATATTTTTGGTATTAGCGACAGTTTATGAAACCTTAATTTTTACTCATAGTCTCCCTTGTCCTACTCTTCCATTCACAATATCAAACAAGTCAAAAAATCATCAATTTGGTTAGGGTTTTTTATTAAATTTGAGTGTATTAAAGAATGAATCACCTCAAGAATGACAATAATTCCATTGCAACAATAGGTTAGGGATTTTGAGATTTTAGTTTTTTTCTTTTTAATCAAGTTCGTTGAGGTCTTTTTCTAGAAAACAAATTGATTCTCTTTTCCTCTTCCTCCAAATAACCATCTTCACCTCATCCAACTCTATTCCAGATGATTTAGCAAATCAGGAGCTCTAATGTAGATTGCATAACAGTGTACAAGGAAAGCTATAGCAGATTGGAAGAATGGTGATAGCTAAGAACGGACGGTGGCGCTGGTTTACGATTCCAAATCTTGGATCTACAGACTTCACATCTCTTTCAACGCACATCTCCGGGTAGCTCTATAAGTTCCTTTGCTTCTCCTTCATTCCTTCACATCTCTGTATTGTCTATGTTTTTCCCCCTTTTCTTTAAGAAGTTTGTGGTTAGAAATAGAAAATCAATAGGCTTTCGTGGATTAGAAGATGGCTATACTAAAATTTGAAGAAATATAGAGGTCTTCTTTTAGATATTTCTTTTTCATTGAAGATTTCCCTATTTTTTCTTTATTTGTTTGATTTGAATATGTGGGATGTTGGGGCAATAGAAAACATATTCAAAACTACCGACTAACATATTATTTTTTTTATAGTTTTCGTTACACTTAGACAACAATGATTTTGCTAACTACAGCCATTTCTTACACTATTTCTAGTTTTGGGGAAAGGGAAAGAAAATGGAGTTGAGCAGCTTTGTCATATTCAACCTATCAATGACTAACAAACAAATTTCTAGTGTATGGGTTCACCAAGTGGAAGAGATAGGTTCAGTGACCCACCATTCTTGGCATTAACAAACAACCCAAGAGCACTTGTCTAGTAAATCATGTTATACAGGGAACTTGCATAGTTAAAGTTTTTTTATTCATAGCCCAAGATCATTTATAATTCTTTGTGATTGGCACCGTTGTTGTTTTACTTGAAACTTGGTTAATATGGTTGTGTTTATACTATATAGCTGTCAACTATAATCAGGTTTGTATTAACCTAATAGTCCCAATTAATGATTGGGTTGGCTCTGTCTGGGTTTGTTATTAGGGTCTGGTTTGGGACTGGATTGAATTGTTAAATGAACTAGTAAGAATCTTCTCTTTCAGTTGTAATAAAATTTAGCTTCCTCCAGTGTTCTTTTAATGTTAAATCATGGCAATAAATTCTATTATCATGTGGTTTGTGATCCCTCGCATCTTTATTTGTATGCCTGTATTTTTTCCTTATGTGCTTAATCATGCAGTGCCCACTGCTACCAAACTTTGTTTTCAGATCTGTATTGACTGATTAAAGTTATATCAACATATATCTTTCTCTATAGTATGATTTTATTCGAATTATATGGAGGTATAGTTACTAGTGTTTGGTGCTAATGTGGTTGTATATTCATTATTGTGGTTATTTATGTATTTGGTGGATATCATGCCATGTTTAGCTTCAATGTTTTTTTGAGCTAGGAAATAAGTAGTCCACCAAGTTATAACTAGCAAGGAGAGGAGCTAGGAAACTCTAGTAGCTTCTACTTAGTTTGCAGTTATTTAATTGATTAAAGAAACTTTCTATAGTGGAGAAAAAAATTAAAAAAGTAACTTTTCAACAAAAACAAAAACAAAAAAAGCTTTTACTTTTATCCAAACTCAAAGTTGCAAATAATTACCTTTGGAATTTAATGGAAGATTGGAATCAACAAAGATAATTAAATATACCTGAAGTGCAGGAATATCATCATCCTGATTTACCAAGGTCAGGAGCCCTATGTAAAACATCATTTATAACTATTTAGCTTATTTGGTTGTGTGCAGCTATAAGGATATTTCATTCATGCACATTAGTAAAACTTGGAATTGGAAGATTAATGCCTTGAACATGCTAATAAAAACATGTGAAATATACAGACAACATAGAGGGAAGATACATTGCTAAAAACAACATAACATAGAGGAGAGATGCATCATTAAAGCAAACAAGTAAAAAACTTAACCGTAATCAGTGTGAGCGCCACTGGAATTGTTTATACAGGATATACGAAAATAGAAATCTATCAATAAGACCCTTTAAAACTCAAAAAAAAAAGGAAATTTTCAATAAAATTTTGACCGATAATTAGTATTTCATTACCATCCAATATCATTTTCTGGCATTTCTGGAAACTTCCTTAATCTTATTCACTGAAAAATAATTAGTTTCAGCCATCAAGTATCTCACAACTTACTTAATAACTTATTCACTAAAAGAAATTAATAATTTATTTAGTTCAGCCACTTAAGTTGTTACCAAGCATAGTTGTATTGGTATAGTGGGTTTTACTATTCAAAACTACAAAGGTTGTAGCAAAAGAACTAGATTATTTCAGTTCATGTCATAAAGATTTTTATTTTAATGCCCCTTTGCTTTTAGCAATGATTTCACAAGCATAGTTAAGATTTGGCCAAACAATCCATAATCTTCATTTATCTAATTGTACATCCAAATTCAGTATAAGATTATGAGGGTGTTCCGAAAATGAATTGTTTTGTTTGTTGTGATTTCAATAAAGAAATTAAGCCCCACAAATAGTTTTAGAATACATTATTTTTTTTCTTAAAATAGAAACACATCAAACACGATTCTTGGTTGTGTATTATTTTCCTTTTTTCATAAACCATAAATGCACTCTGAAATTTCTAGTACTAAATACCAAATACATGATTTCCTCTGGTGGTTTGATATTATTTAGTGTAAAGTTACAACATCTAGATAGATATTCTAATTAATAGATGCTAGTTCACCTTTCTTATTTTTACTTTATTTCATTTTTTGCTTACACTTTTGACCCAAATCCATTTAAATGTGGATTGATATGGTTAGTAGGAGCCTTAAAGCAACAGTTCAAGGGTCTATGTTAGTTCCCCCTACATTTGCAGGTGCTTTGTACATACCTTTGACTGAAATATTAATATGAATAGGTAACATGAACTATTGATAGTTCAAGTGCTCTCTGTACATCATCCCTTTATGATAGAGGGGAAAGGCCAAGGAGACTGTAGAGAGATAGACATAGAGTTATACATTGATAGAAACAAGCCTCTATCTAGGTTTTCAAAGAAATATTGGAAGCCCTAACAATAGTTATGCATTGATATGGCTACCAGTCTTTAATGTCTAGATGTTATATTCATTTTTCTCTTCTTTAACTAAACTCTAACACTTCTAAGACTTAAATCTATTTCAATGTGTTGAGGATTATTTGGAACATGGTTTAAGTGACAACTGTTCTCATTGAGAAAACTTTACTTGGATAAAGCTCTTCTTTAGGCTTTTATAAGAAGATGATCCAATATATTCACCTTTTACTACCATCGATTTAATCAATTGTTTTTCCATTTATTGTTGCATAAATAACTTGAAAGCATTGTGCTTTTGAGGAAAAAGAAAATCCCTAGTAAGTTTAGGATGGGATTGTTCCTAGAGAAAACCCCAAAGTGCCCTTTTTAAGTAAGATTCATAGCTTGCAAGTTTTGGCTTTAAGTTTTAACTGCAGGGAGGGGATGGGAAGTTACTTTGACATATACTAGGGTATGGTTTGGTTTTGTAGCAAGTTGTTCACGACACCTGCCATGCCTAGATATGGTCATGTGCCATGACATTTTCCATGGTGATGTTTTATAATCATTGCAAGTGAAGCTTCATGTCATAATTTGTTAAATTTCATATCTCCTTATTTTGGAAAGAGTGAAGATATATCAAATTTAGTTTTTGGGTTTATAATTTCAATGTTGAATTCAAGATATTAGTTTTCATGTTTCATACATTCTTCTAGTTATATTGCTGCTTTCAGCAACTCGAGATTGTCCTTATGACTATACTAGAGGCAGGACTCCCACCCGTGATATATTAGAAATGTGAGAAGTTTCTGGGTCAGTTTGAAGTAGTAGTTCAGCATTGAAAATCTCTGGTTTGTCCTTGATAGTCTTGTTTGTATTGATTAGGTTCCTTGCCAAGCTTGATAAGGCCAAACGTGCTTTCTGCTTTGCTAGTGGAATGGCTTCTCTCTCCATTGTGACACATCTAATTGGAACCAGTACGTGTCGATCTTCTTGAATCCTCTAATTTAATTGCTACCAGACTCTCCTTGTAATTTTCTTAACTTGCCAATTTCATGTGAGGCAGTTGTTGCTAGAGAAGACATATAGCAGTTCAGATTGGTTGCTATCATAAATACTTCCTAATAAAGGAATTGTGGTGAAGTGAATATATTTTCCTACCTTCATCTGCTCTTCCTAATTCTGTAAGTTATAACTATAGTTGATGTTGAGAAAACTTGTAATTATGTGTAGGCAAGTGAACACAATTGATCTAGATGAGGTTGTAGCTTCAATTGGTACATAAACTAAGGGCCTGTTTGGTGTGTCTTTTTGGGAAGATCTTCTGGTAGCTCTGACAGTCAAATGACGCATTGAGCTTTTGCATGAAGGTCTGAAAAGCTCGAAGCACGTTTGGCAGATGCATGTCTTTCCATGTCTTTCTACGTGAGAATAAAATGTGAAAAACGTGAAAAACTTCATTTGAAGCTTCCTGAAATCAGAGCCCAAAATGAGTTGTTCATGTCTTTTCGGCATTCCGTCTTTTGGCAGCTAGATCTTTCGCGTGCCAAACAGAAATAGTCCAAAATTCGGTCTTCCCTAAGTCTGTATGGCTGGAAAGTCTAATTAACTCTTGCCAACAAATTTTTTATATTTGGGTAAGAAGTGTTTGTTCATTAGAATCACTAGAAACTGAAATGCAAGTCCAATTTTTTTGAATTCTTACAAGGGTACCATTGGAACAAAAAATTTGTGTACTACCTCTGATTCGTAGGTAGCTTGGAGTCTAAATAAATTGGAGGAGTTTTCAGATTTTGGTTCATCTATTTAGATGTGTAGCAGAACACCACCGAGCATTGAAAAAGCAAGTTTTTCAAGGTTCGGTGGTGTATTCAGTGCTACCGAAGACGACCTTAGCTGGGAGGAAATGATGAATTTTTTAAATTTGGTATTCTTGCAGAGGCTATTTTGGATTTTCACTTTCACGAAGTCTATTTTCTTTTTCATCCACTCATTTGTTAGAGAACGAAGTTTTATATTTTCTAAAGGTGCTAGCTAGCTTATTGGTTTAGGAGAATTGTCCCTAATTATTAGCCCATTTCCGTAGGAATTTTATAGGACGCATTAAAAAATAAGAGAATCTTAAAATAGGAAAAATATGAAGAATCATAGAAATTTTGGGGACATTAAAGTTGCATTTGATACCAAGGCTTTGTTTCAATCCAAAGAAGGCAAATATTTTTCAATATGAAATATTTTGTTCATATTTCAATAGAAACAAAAAGATCTTTACCCTCCACACCTTGAAATCTTAAATATGTATTAGGCCACAAAATAAAGTAGTGTTTTGATGCAAAACTAGGAATAAGATGCTCTCCTAAGGCTATTTTTAAGGTAAAAATCATGCAAAACATGTAATTAGATGGTTAAAGATCTTTTGTTTTTGAAAAATTATAGTTACTAATTTAATTTTTTTTTTTGCTTTTTGTTGTATTACTTTTTTTCTTGTAGGCTATAGAAGAAAAATAATGTAGATGGTGTTAAGATGAACTACTTTTTTTCTTTTCTTAGAGTAGGAAGTGAATTATTTTTTGTATTTTTTATTCCATATGTTTTTGTAGATGGATTGTTGTTTTCTTTTTAAATTTGTATCAATTAATATGAAATAATATTTAGAAACAATTGCCATCTTTTAATAAATATGTAAATGGATTGCTTTAAATAGCACATTAAATGTTGTTATATAGGTTTACATAAGTTTTACAAAAGATAAAATATGTTGTTTTAAAATATATATAAATGATCTTTAGAGATAGTCGCAAGTGCCTCTAAATAAGAGCAACCAGTACTTTTAATGGCAATTACAAGTGCTACTATAAAGCATAACTAGTATTCTTAAAATTACTTTTGAGTTGTCTTAAATTTAATTAAAATGCCTCTAAAAATGTACATTTGGTGGCATTCTTACATGTCTCTATATAATGCTTTTTAGCGACAATGCTTTAGATGTATGATTATGTGCCTCAGTATCGTATTTTTTGAGGCATTTACCAGATGTGCCTCTAATTATCAATCAATCGCCACTATAACATTTAGAGACTACACATTTAGAGGCAATCACTTGAGTGTCTCTAATTCTTTTTAAAGGCATTTTTTGTTACTTATATAGATGATTTTTCTAGTAGTGTTGCATCCGATTAATAAAAAAAATCATATTCAAATTGACTTCATTCGGTCCCGAATTAAAATTTGAATTTGATTATTTTGTAATATTTATTTGTTTTAATATATAAAATTTATATATTTATATTTTAAATTATAAAAAATATATTTTTATAAATTATATTATATATGAATTTATATCTATAATAAATTTAACAGGTTATATTTATATTAATTTATTATATATAAAAGTTGAAAACTAAATATCTTTTTTATTTTTTATTTTACAAATGAATGTGGACTCATATTAAAACCAAATCCAATTGGATTCAAATGTAAGTTTTCAGTAGCGGATCAAATTTTGATGCAAGTTCTCAATAATTGGATCAGATTTAAATTTTGTTCAATCCGATCCAAATCCGATCTGTTTATAACCCTACAAGCAGGGGGATCTCTCATATACAACCTTCATTCAATAATCTAACCTTATAAGGTGTAATATGAGCAATAGGTCTAGAGTTGTAAATAAAAGAGAAAATAAAATTGTTTGGCAAGATTCCTAATTTTTCTCAGAACACAATGGGCATTTCTTTTAATATTTTTAAAAATGGTGTCATTTCTAGCTTTCCTTATGAGATATTAAATCTTGTTTCCTTTCTATCTAAGGTATTTTTCTCATAAATAAATTATATTAATTAGATCTATATCTAATACTTTTAATAATATAAAATTCATATTTAAAAAAATGACCAAAAAACAAAACCTTCTTTTGTACATGTGGCAGGTAAGCAATTCAACCATGCAATTCAAATGGATCAACCCATGATGCCATAATTAAAATATATATATAAACACAGACACATAAAAAAATACATAAGTTTTATAAAACAATTTTAGACACATTATTATAACCATTATCATCATCTAAAATTGTCACGTGCAAAGCACATATATATTTACTAGTTTAATAAAAACATGAATGCCTTCTTTTCTTACGTAGCACTTACTGAAACCTCTAGCAACACTTTGAAGTTCTTTAAACAATTTGGAAAACTCAGTTAAGCGACCACAATAATCAGTTACTTCTTTAGATTTTGCATCCCTTGTCCATCTCTTTAAGACATAGTGTAATTGTTCTTTTATTTGTCTTTGAGAAAGAACATATAATGCATGCATACATAAATTTCCTACAAACTAAAATTTCTTACAAATGCAACTTCCATACAAAAATGACTAAATGTCATAATATACTTGCGATGTTTATTCAAGTATTTTACGTTGTACTCAATTATTGTTCCAACTTCTACTACACTTTGAATAAAATAATCATGACTTTCCGAATATTACTTTGCAAATTCCTTAAACACTATTGAAGTATATATAAATGCAACCTAGTTTAACATGCGTATTGGAAAAGTTAAGTAGGGGATGCTTTGGCTCATTTCCACTTCCATCCCTAATTCTTTATGCTAGCGATTTGATATAACTCCATCAAAATGCTTAAAAAATCAATGCAAATCAAGAGTGGAGTTTAAATAGCCTTCCAATAAACCATTCATTCTCTTACTCCTTTGTGTAGTTTTCATGTCATCACAAAAATTGCTTCTTCCATATGCCAAAGCCCATTTCTCTTTCACTTAAAACAATCCTTGCAATCAAGTATTTTCTACTAAATCATATTTTGATATCATCTCATGCCATGCTATTAGAAATTCCTCATCTTCATATTCATATATGCATCTATTAAACTCCTTATCAAAGAAACAAACAGTATAAACATGCTTCAAATGTTTGGTTGCATTTTAATATATATGCCATATGCAAAGATGATAAAAAGTGTTTAAAAATACTTGTTTGATTGCATTTGCCATTATTGGATCTTAGTCAAATAGAATTATCCTTGGAAATACTTGTTTGCTTATGATGATTAACCCCAACAAAAAGTGCAAATGGTCATTATTAGTAATTTATCCTAAAAGTGGTATCAAAGTAAACAACATCACTAAAATAACTATAATTAACCACCATTCTTCAATCTGCCCAAAATATGTTTATTATTAAACCTTCATTATCAATTTGAATTGAGTGAAATGATGATATATTCTCTTCTTGCATCTTATTAAAATACTCTAATATGACTCCTACACCTCCATTTTCCATGTCCTTTTTCTTTTAGCATGCAAATAGTTATTATAACTAATACTAATAAACCCAATATTTTGGATTCCTCTTGTTTGTTTACCCATGAATTCTACTATTGTTTTTGCCTGTATGCCTAAATCATCTACAATATTAGCTTAGGCTTTTTGTGTTACTATTATTTTTTTTATGTGATCTAAACATATATGGTCTATTTAGAATTATAACCAAATGGATATGAGTTACTTCAAAATTTTTAATACAATATTTTTCATTATCTTGCAATGCAATAGTCATTCATGCAAACAATCAGTTCTTTCTACATCACAATAAAACTTTACCTTTGCTCTTTGTTTATCCTCACGACAATACCCTTCTTAACAACAAACAAATATTATATTTCTAAAAATTAAAAGTAAATGACATTTAAAATATAAATGGTAAACACTATAAGCTAATATATAAATTTTCTTAAGAACCTTTTCTCAACCTTTTGTTTTCTTATTTTTAATTAATCAAACCAAAAATTCTAGAAAGAGGAAAACATGTATAATATCTTTAATGTATTTTCAAAATATTTTAAAATAATTAAAACCAAATAAAGTGGCATAAAGAGGAAAGAATAGTAAAGAAAATAATAATAATAACAATAATAACAACAATAATAATAACAATAACTAAGAAACCATTGCAAAGGGGTTGTTAAACCATAATAGGTACATGCTTATAAATTATGATTCCTTAATACATTCTCTGAGTGTTCATATAAAAATAATTTTACTATTTTATTTGGTAGCCATGTAAATAAATGTTTTGGGTGTTCATATATGTGTACAATTTTGCATTAAGCTAACTATTATAAGTAAGGCACTTTTGGTCTTAAATTCTTTACAGATAAATTTTCAATCTAGAAATGCTAGTAAGGCTCCCTTTGGGAAGAGTGCAAATGCCGGTTCAATGCTTATATGCACTTTGATTTAGTTTTCCAAATTAATAAAAATGTATTTGTGTTTGTATTGAAAATGACAACAA